ATAATTACTTTTTAAGTCTAATTCCTGAAAGCCATACAGTAAATAATTTAATTTTTGCTTTTTTGAGAACAAATTTGTCCACAATGATCCACAAATCTGTGCAGTTCAGGTAAGAAAAGAATTAAGAAGGTTTTTCTGTTCTTTGAGGGAACTTTTAAAATGCCATCATTATCTCAGTAGTCAGTTGTTTATCCGTTGAAGTTTTGCTCTTGAGAATCCCAATGAAATCTGACGGCCGCTTTTTCGTGTTAGAATTGCTATAATTCTTCAGTTTTTTATTTATCTGTACTTTCCAAAACCTCCATTCCTTTCCTTGATACAGTCTTGTATTTTCTAAAATCGATTTTTAATTTTTTTTTAGAGAACAAGCAGAGATTTCGACGAAACTTGAGCATGTTTGTTTGTTTGTTTGTTTTTCGCTACTCGCTATCTTTCACTGATTGAAGGAGTCGTAATAGTATGCTAGTAGGTTTATGCTAAAACTCATTTGTTGCAGAGTTAAAAGAGCAGCGAGAAACTTGACAATAAATTAGGAATTTAAAGAGCCTTTAAGAATTACATCAGATAGGGTTATCTAAATCAAAATCCTAACTTCCAAGTTGTTGTGACTTTCATGGTCCTAGACTACATTTCTTCTACATCACTCAATTTGTCATAATTTTGCTGTTCTTATATTGGTATCGTGACAAACGCTGAAGCCTGAATGTGGCTGTAGCAATTTCCACATTTGAGCTTTATACCTTTAAAACTACCTTGATTGCAATATGTAGTTTTGTAAGAACAGCATTTTCATAGCACAATATTTTTTCTGTGATCGTCTCGCTTTTGATGAAGCCGAAAGAAATGAGCTTGTAAACAATAAAGCTCATTTGCATAATTCAGCTAACAAGATGCTAGGCTAGCTATGAAAAGCTGCTAAACTAGACTGAAAGTAGATCTAGAAAATTAAAATATAATAATATGTGTTCACACAAGTTCCAAAGACAATTTTAGTGACTTTTCTACTGATCTCCTGAATTTTTATAATTTATTTAGTATTTTTTATGTGGATGTATTCAGTATAATATCGATGAGTCAAAACGTGAAAATAGGTAAGCAAGAGAGAAGCTCCCTTGCAACAAGAAACAAGTGTCTGCGGTTTTCAGTAGGGAAAGTTATAACAATAAGTGATCTTTCTGGGAAAATTAGTGTTTTTAGTGTTCACAAGCTACTATCTTGGTTATGGACTGTTTGAACTTCGGCTATTTTACATTTCTATATATGAAAGGACAAAGTATGTAGTATTGGGAGAAGATCTCCCAATAAATTCATTCAAAATATATAATTTAATACTTCAACTAACAGTTCTAAGGCACAAAAATAATCGTTCAAAGGCTGGTTACGAAAGACCTTTTGTTTGTTCCCCAAAATAAATTGTACCAGTGTACTAGGCTAATAGTAGGCTTTCTTTAGGCAAAGTTTGAGGTAGGGCGATTTTTGGGTTATTTCCAGCTTAGGCACGGAGAGGGTGGAAGCGAGGTGGGGGGGGGNGGGGGGGGGTGGGTAGAGGAGAACAAGTGTGTATTAGGGGTGGATCAACGTGTTTTGCCAACCCTATCAGAACAAGGGGCCATTTTGCATGACCATGCGCGAACTGCTGTGCTGCTGTGCTGTGAGATAGTAATGCAGGCTCAACCCAGGGTACCCACGCATCTAGCTTGTAACAAGATGTCTCGGTGTTCGATTTATTTAGTTCTCTTTCTTATAATTTTCACAGTTATTCGGAACTAATCATCTACACGTAAAATCGGCTAAAAATGTTTTCAAAGAAACAATTTTTGAATAATAGCTCTAGACATATAATTTATTCATAGGCGAAGCAAGACTATATGCCCTTGTAGATAATTGATAATTGCTCTATTTTCCCCAATTTTTCTAACTAATCAAACACGATAGGTCGAAAGCACAGATAACAAAGAAATCACATCAAATGAATTTTGTGTGGTAGTTTCTCTCACAAGTCAGAAAAGTACTCGAGAATAAAGACAAACAGATAAACATATTTATACTGCATTTGATACTTTAATGAATACCCAAGAAAAGTGTTTGATGGCTGGGATATCGAGAATCCATTTCCGGCAAGGATACATATAACCAAAAAATGGATTCTTTCGGTTCGAGCATTTGAAATTACAAACGTTTTGACCAATTTATAAATGACTATGCAAACAATGTTTACAACTTTGATGGGCAAAAAATATAACTTCCCGAATTTTCTAATCAAAGATTCATAAGCAAACACAATAAATACATATAGATGTTATCATTTTTGCTTGCAGTACAGTGGTATTTTCAATACTTTTACAAATATTGCAAGGATAAAAACTCCGAAAAGCTCGAATTATGAATATATGATATGAAAGAAAGGCGAATATTTTCGCATGTCATTGCAGGCGATTTATACACATGATATCGTAATAAAATAAGAATGGCATAACACTCAACTTTATAGCAAAGCTGGCATCAAATAGTCTTATTTCTTCAGTAAAACCAATAGCTAAGCATATCACAACAGTCGCCATTTTTGAGGTAGCTCGCATGACTCTTTGCAATCATGTTTTGCGAAGACTTTATACGTTGATATTCACTTGAATCGCACAAAGGATACATATTCGATGTCAGGCTTGATGTCTGATCTTATATCGAATCGTTTCAGAAGACGAAAAAGCAGATCTTTGAGCATATTTATCAGATTATCGCCACATGATCGAAACTCTATACAGTAAAAGCTCAGGTATGGCGCGCATGCGCAGCAAAATGGCCCCTTGTTATCTATCAGTAATTTACGCCTCCCTCGGGAAGAAGGTAAAATGTCAGCCATGTTGAAATGTCTTCTCACAATTGCTGTGCTTCGTGCACATTCGCTTTTTGTTTATCATTTTCGGCATATGGACTTTGTAGATGTCGCGACAGAATTATCGTATGATATAATTGCGTCATTAGCAAACTGCACTTTCATTTCAATAATAGAACAAGTTAATACAACCAAACGAAGGGAATTACGTGCAAGACCTCGCTCGTTGCTACAGTTTCGATTCCCAGACTCGGTGTCCTGCTGGTTCCCTCATGTACTTCGAGGGTGTTTCATCGTTTTCCTCCCTCCGTAAATATCAAATTCTAAATTCCAATTCGATCATGGAACGAGGGCTACAAGTTTGTTTGCCACTGATTAATAAGTGCTGCTCTTGAAAAAAAAATACAACTGATTTATGTTCTAGCATACCGTATTTACTTGTTTAAGCGCAACCCTCGATCAAACGCCACTCTCAGATAAYATTGTCTAGTATATTGTTTTCGATAGTCTAAAGGGCGATCAAACGCCACTCTCAGATAAGCGCCGCACCCAAGACCAAAAAATTTAAATAAGAACCAAAAGTTTAAGATATTATTTAATCTAACGTAGTCTAATGTGATTGGATCCCGATATAACATTGAATAGTACTATATTGCTTTCGATAGTCTAGCGGACGACATTCGGAACTATCTCTCGTTAGTTCTACAACTTGTGATCACGAAGGAGAAAATAAAGCATGTCAATCGCACGGTAAGTCTTTCTTTTACGAAAATCGCTAGATCCTCTACACTGGCCGGCCAGGAAAAGTTGAATCATTGGGTTGGATCTTACAGTTTTGTTAATCATTAATCCTCTCATAGTCTTATGTAACATATCATTATTTTAACGGATGAGTATCTCTCTTTTGATTTGACCAATTTGTCAGTTTTCTCTCTGCAAGAACTAACAAGCTCACCTAGGGAAAAAATAACTGCATTATTAGTTTTAAATAATTTTGGAGTACAAATAAAGGAAAATTAAGAAAGAGAATAGTTATAAAATCATGAGTGATTTGCATCATGAGAAAGACAAATAAGATAGAAAAGATACGTTTTGCCAGTGAGGACAACTCCATATATCCAGTTATATGGAATATAACTTTGTTGTTTTATTATTGCTGAAACTAACTCACCTCTTAGCAAAAAAAAAAACCCACATTTTTTAAAATCTTGTAGCGCTCGATATAAAGATATAAAGATAAATAAAAACTTGTGGCGCTCGCTTGATCTAGGGCCGTGTGCTAAGAAATTGGATGAATATTGTACATAAATTCCAGTATAGGCCGAAATAGCAATAACAAGGCTATAACGCTTTTAAAGAAATGATGTTTCAGCTGTTTTGCTTCTCGTTGCGTAAAATTTTTGTTTTAGGACTAAAAAGGTTGAATGTCTCTAGAGAAGCAGTTTCTTTCTATTTCTTTCATAGAGCGCCTGCCCTGTTGTGAGTAGAATTTCTGTTGGGTCTCTTCTGTGCTTTGAGCGGGGTTTTACGGGTCACTCCGGTTTTCCTCCCTCCTCAAAAATCAACTTTTCTAATTCGATCTTTGGGCTTTCACTTAGTTTGGAGCCTAGCTCTGTTGTGATTGTCCCACGCGGTGATACATCAGCGAAAGCTTTGTAGACTTATTTTAGATCTAGCCACCGCTACCTGCTCACGCTTGAACCAATACAATGGGTGCTGTTTGAAAGACATTTTGATACTAAAGCGCATAGATTTATTTGAACACTAAAATCTGAAATAGTCGATTCTCCCTAAAGAATCATTTATTCTTTCTTCTATTTGTGCTGGTCTTGTTAAAAAACAACGATTGGTTAATGTTCGAGCATAACGTATTTACTTGTTTAAGCGCCGCCCCCAACCAACAAAAAAAAAAAAAAAAAAAAAAAAAACCAAAATTTTTAGCAGTTTTAATAAAAAAAAAAAAAAAAATAATAAAAAAAAAAAAAGAACCAAAATCTTTAAAACCTTATTTAATCTAACGTAGTCTATTGTGATTGGATCCCGATATAACATTGTCTAGTATATTGTTTTCGATAGTCTAGAGGGCGATCAAAACGCCCTCTCAAATAAGCGCCGCACCCAAAACCAAAAAAATAAAATAAAAACCAAAACTTTAATATATTATTTAATCTAACGTAGTCTATTGTGATTGGATCCCGATATACCATAGTCTAGTACTAAATTGCTTTCGATAGTCTAGTATAGCGGACGACATTCGGAACTATCTCTCGTTAGTTCTACAACTTGTGATCACGAAGGAGAAAACAAAGCAAGTCAATCCCAAGGTAAGTCTTTCTTTTACGAAATTCGCTAGTTCCTCTACACTATCCGTCCATGAAGAGTTGAATCATTGAGTTGGATCTTCTAGTTTTGTTAATCATTAATCATCTCATAGTCTTATATATTATATAATTGTTTTAAAGGATGAGTATCTATTTTCAATTTAACCAATTTTTCATTGTTCTCTCTCCAAGAACAAACGAGCTCACCTAGGCAAAAAATAATAGTATTATTAGTTTAAAATAATTTTGGAGTACAAATAAAGCAAAAAGAAAGAGAATAATAATAAGATTAATCGGTACAAATAATAACCATGAGTGATTTCCATCATGGGAAAGACAAATAAGATAGGAAAGATACGTTTATGAGTGAGGACGACTCTATATGTCCAGTTATATAGAATATAACTTTGTTTTATTATTGTTGAAACTAATTCACCTTATGGCAGATTTTTGTTTTAACTTGTAGCGCTTGCTTGATCTAACGCAATGTGCTATGAGAAATTGGGGGAAAATTGATCATAAATTCCAGTATAGGCCGAAATAGCAACAACAAGGCTATATTGCTCTTAAAGAAATGATGTTTCGGTTGTTTTGCTTCTCTTTGCGTAAAACTTTCGTTTTAGGACTAAAAAGGTTGATTGTCTCTTGAGAAGCATTTTCTTTCTCCTATTTGTGTTCATATTTTTTTTCAAATAACGCCTACTCTTTCATCTAGCCACCCATACCTGTTCACGCTTGAACATTGCAATCGGTGCCGTTTGAAAGACGTTTTGATACTAAAGCGCATTGATTTATTTGAACACTAAAATCTAAAATCTAAAATAGCCGATTCTCCCTAAAGAATCATTCTTTCTTTCTTCTGTTTGTGCTGCTCTTGTAAAAAAAGGACAATTGATTAATGATCGTGCATACCGTACTTACTCGTTTAAGCGCCGCCCACGACCAAAACTAACGTAGTCTAATGTGATTGGATCCCGATATAACATTGAATAGTACTATATTGCTTTCGATAGTCTAGCGGACGACATTCCGCACTATCTCTCGTTAGTTCTACAACTTGTGATCACAAAGGAGAAAATAAAAAAAGTTAATCGCACGGTAAGTCTTCCTTTTACGAAAATCGCTAGTTCCTGTACAATGTCCGGCCAGGAAGAGTTAAATCTTTGAGTTGAATTATAGTTAATGGAACGGAACGGTTGGGAAACCTATTGCTTTAGGTTTTTGTTCATTGGCTTTATCCATTGTTATATGACGATGACCGTGCACAGATAAGGAAAGGTGGCTCCATTTGTTTATAGTATTTATAGTAAATTGCTCTTTTTAATGCTTTTGTTATTTATCATCTAGTAAGGCTTAACTGTTTCTGCGCGGAAATTTCATCCGCAACGTTTTTGGTCATCGAATGAAAGTTTTTACTTTCAAAATGTTCATACAGCAATATGATTAAAAAAAGGAGTATTTCCAGCCATACTTACTTGGGCTCATTGTGCACGGTCAGTATCACGTGATGGTACGGTTCAACCTCAAACGCAAAACAATAGCTTTGTTCTATGGAGTTTCCAAACCATTCTGATCTGTTAACTAAGGTTGGTTCTTTGAGTTTGTTAATCGTTAGTCATCTAAAAGTCTTATATATTATACAATTATTTTAACGGATGAGTATCTTTTTTTAATTTGACCAATTTGGCATAGTTCTCTCTCCAAGAACTAACAAGCTCACGTAAGGAAAAAACTAAAAGTATTATTAGTTTGAAATAATTTTGGAGTACAAATAAATTTGAATCGTTATTAAATGTTATCTTGGAAGGAAACTATGAAATTAATGAGGTCATTAATCACGGGCGAAAAAAAGATACGTCAGAGGTAAAATGCAAATTTGGCTGCCTATAGAAGATTGATAACACACCTATGTTTCATTACATATTGATTTCTCGAGTCGCATGTTTCTTTTGTAAATAGTTGATCAAACGATATTTTATTATTATTATTATCATTATTATTATTATTATTATTATTATTATTATTATCATCATCATTATTTTTATTATTATTATTATTT